AGTTTCACTCATTAGTGATTGTTAAATATCAAATCAAACTGTTGGTTATATATATCTTATTGTGCACTATATTAGTTCTAATTAAAAAACTGTATTCCAGGATAATTAGTTTTAATGATTTAGATCCTCCACATAGCAGGGTTGTGATATCTTAAGTAATTTTTGAAAGTTTATTTCAAGGGCGTGACAATTAGAAATTAGAAGTAATTATTTATTAGAAGATCTAGTTTTTTCATTATATAATTTTTTTCTACTTTGTCATGTTGTTCATATTTTAAAAATTTGATGATGCAAGATTGGTTGAAAAAAATTGGTAAAATGATTAAAAATGTTAGACTCAATCATGTTTATAAAATAATCCTTGAGTCACTTACATAAATTTTATGAGATTACGAGACAAATTGATTTATCAATAATAAAGTCATTATAGATTGATACGCAAGTACATTAAAACTCTACATACAAAATAATACTTTGAATTTCATTATAAAGTTATTTTTCTTGAATATGTTTTGCGAGAACTTAGTTATGCATGGTTGTCATCCAAGAATGACTGGAATCAGTTCGATAAGATCAAATAATTGTTTCATATTTTTCATCGAATAATTGATATTTTTTTGAGTTCAATTTATCTTATAGCAAATAAATTTCATCTAAATTTAATACTCATTAAAAAAAAATATTTGTATAAAGAATGAGAATCTGAACCTCATTTTATATTCAATATGACAATGATCATGAAGCCAAATTTTAAAAACCATTGGATTGATTGTTCTATGTTATCCTAGAATGAAATTGTTTGTCATCAATTACTATTATTATTAAATTTATGGTGATGATATTTTGAATGAAAATACAATATGAAACATCAACTTTTTTTAGATGTACTCTTATTATGTTGTTGATAGATAGCATGTAGTGAAGCCTCCACCTCTAACTCTCAAGTTGAGGCATCAATCACAACACGAGACGGTAATAATTCACTTGATGATTTGGTTAACTTGTATGATTTCTTAAATTCAACTAAGCTTCTACTTTTACAAAAGATTGACCTAAGAAGAAGCTTGTGTTAAATGTCTTGAATTAAAGTTTGATATCTGGAGTGGTGAAAAATGTCTATCATGAAATACAAAACTCTTTCAAAGATGATAAAGACATTTGTACCGTTCTTATCACAACAGGTGTCTCTGAGTCAACATTTGGTACAGAAGGTCGTGTGTTTAATGATTATAAGAGCTCAATTTCACCAAAAATATTGGATGTCTTAGCGTGCAGTAGTAATTGGATTAGAGCATCATACAAATCATTGAAAGACCCTTTGATAAAATTTAGATTGTCAAACATTTTTATTACATATTGTATTTATCTTTTCTTAAATTTATATAAATATGTAGTCACCTTTTGTAACTTTAGTTTCAAATTCTTGTGGAATAAAACTTAGTAGCTTGTGTTCCAGAAGGCTGGAGCGTGGAATCTCAAATTTGATAAAGTTATTCAAACGAAGTGGTGATTAGTATTTGATTAATCACGACAATAATTCTCTTTATTTTAGTTTCACATTCTCTATGTTAGTAACTCTATGAATCTACGGGCTATGATTCTAAGAACATTAAATGTACTGTAATATGAGTATCTCTATTACTGACTTGCTATATTGAATGGATTGTGAACTTAATTTTATGGCTTGCGGTCATTGTGGATGTAGCCATGTGGGTGTGTGGTGTTAAGACTTCGGAGTTGCTGAGTTGGAACTAAATGTGCTGATCTTAATTATGTTTTTGTTGCACATATGGTTTGTGTCGCATTTACTTTGGATACACTACACTTGCTTCTTTAATTTTATGGAAATGTTAGTACATTTGCATAAAATAAGAATGCAAAGTGCGCTTATTTCTTTTATTTAGCATGAACAACAACACTGTTTCGATATTGAGCATTAGGATGGTTTTTTTTTTTTTTTTGTTTCTTTTATTTAGCATGAACAGCAACACTGTTTCGATATTGAGTATTAGGATGGTTTTTTTTTTTTTTTTTTGATCTCTTGTTCCCCACATTTTTTTGTCTTGCCGATAGTGAATGGATGATTATATTTATTTCTCGTTTGATGATATGGTAGGATGTTTTGTGCATTTAATTTTATTTTTGGTGAAACAAAGATGTAAGCTGGCCGCAGTGACTCAACTAGTTATCTAGAATTGGTTTATAAGAGTATTGTGAGGATAAACAAGTGTTCTATATTTTATGCTTTTCAGTTTTTTGTTTCATGCTTTTTAGTTTTATGTTTTCTACTGTTTCTGATTTTCTATTATCTGGTTGGGTGGTTGGGCATTTGCCCTTACCTTTGGTGTTAGTAGGCTGCAGTTGGTAGTGTTAGCTTGAATTTTGGAGGCCAAAACTTTAGAGTTAGGAGTTGGCACAATGCATTTAGGTTGGTTCTGTTTGTTTTCCTGTATGGTTTTTTTTCTGTTTTTTGTTTTTTAGACCTTCTGGAAATATGTCAATTTATCAGTAAGACAATAATATATGTTTAATTCATAATTTCAAACCACATCATCTTGTCAGATAACTTTAGATGAAGTTGGCTGCATCAGCCTAGGAAATTCCTGACCTCAGAATTTAGGAATTTTTAATTGCTTGGTCGTTTATATAAATTAGAGCCTTATAAAAGATTCCTTGGGGGGTTGTGTACTTGTGTTGTGTCATTGTAAGGCTAAGTAATTATGTCATTCTGAAGTTATGTAGATTTTTTTTGTTTTTTTCCTTCTTTTTTGTTTTTTGTTATTTGTTATCTGTTTTAAATTTTATCTAGGGTTCTCTGGCTGATAATGTTGGCTAATTGGTTTTTTTTTTTTTTTTTGTGAATCTTGGATGTTTAGTTTTCTCTGAGGTTTGTTAGCTAGTTAGTTTTTTTTCCTGAATAATGATTCTTGGTTGATTAGTTTTCTGTGGAGTTTTCTAGTAGATATTTTGGCTGATTGATTTTTTTTTAGCTGGACAGTTTTCTCTATGACTTTCTGGCTAATAGAGTTGGCTGGTTGATTTTTTTTTGTCTTGGTTGGATAGTTTTCTCTGGTGTTCTCTAGTTGTGTCGGATAATGTTGGTTGGTTGGTTTTTTCTGGTTTGTGATTCTTGGCTGGTTGGTTTTATCTGATTTTTTATTCTTGTCTGTTGGTAACTATTCCTTTATTTTACTTCTCTGAGGTTCATTCTGATGAAAATTCTTTATTCAATAGAATTTTATGGAGATTAGATTCATTTTTTCAATATATGAAGGATTAATATAGTTGGCTCAAATATTTTGTTGATAATACGGATACTACCAGTTAGACCTTACCAATTGTGTTCGAGTTTGAGAGCAGTGATGATAGCTAACAAAGAAGAGATAGTTCAATCAATTATTAATAAGAGTTCAATTTATTTGATGGCCAAGTGGTTCATTGTTTTCAATTAGAATTTTGTTATTTTATGTGTTTTTAGAATTTCTAATAGATAATTCTCTCAGTTTAAATATCTACCTCTTGGGCTTGGACGTCTTATAAACTGAATTTGAAAATGACTTGAACGAGGCTATCCTTTGTAAAGCTGGGTGTTTTATCTGAGCTCACTTTTTCACTTTCATTTTTTCTTTTATTTCTTCCCTCATTTTTAGGAGCATTGCATTTGTCTAGTTTTAGTGAATGAAAGAATTCTTTAATTTTATTTATTACTGCACAAATATGAGGTATGTTGTATGCTCAAGTCTAGAATCCAGATATATTCATTCTTTTTATTTTTCTTTTTAATATTCAAAAATTTTGAAACTTTTTCTTTTCCTTTCGAGTTCTACTTTTATTGAAAGAATTTACTTTTGAAAGCGTAAGACATCAATCAAGATTTCAACATTTTAGGTTATATGTAATTTAATTTTTGTATTTTAGAGTAATTTATTGTAATATTTTAATTACTGATTTACACAAATATTATATGTCTGGCCTTGTAATTTTGTAATTTCTAAAACCTAAGTCTCTTGAAATAAAAAAAAATTGTTTTATTTCTATTTTTGGTGTTTTTTCTGAGAACAAAATTTACATTGTCATTTATATGTAATTTAACTTTTGTATTTTATAGCTATAAATTGTAAATTTATAATTTGTTTGATTTCGAGTCGGCTCAATCACTTCTTTGAGCTAAATCGAGTAGCGATTTCAGCCAGATCGAGCACGTGTTTGAGCCGAATCGATCATGTATCCGAGCCAGAGCGAATGTGTTTGAGTCGGATCAAACGTGTTCGAGCTGGATCGATCAGACTCACGAGCCAAAATATGACACTTGAGTCGGCACATTTATAATTTGAGCATTTTGATAATCGATCGATTTCGATCCAAGCCGGATAAAAAATCAAACTTATTGATCCAGTGTTCAAGTTCGATCCATAATATTTAATTTCGATCCGATTTTGAGCCTCCCCTTATCAGCTCGAAATTGGATCGTTGACAGCCCTATAATCATGAGAAATATAAATAATCCCTCCTTCAATTCATTTGGGTAGATTTTACAAAACTATGAGGTTGCTTAAATCCTCCAAGAAAACATAGAAACAGTTGCTGCTCCTGCTTGCTCACAAGTAAGACTTGCTCCATAATCTTTATTTGTGTCATACCTTCATCCACAAGATATACATAATAACATTTTCTTGTGTCATAGCCATCACTTACAACACATGGGTTGCATCCATTTCCTGCATTACAGCCATCTCCTGTAAGACTCCCGCCAGACCTATTTCTAAATCGCTTTCCATAAGAATTACATCGTAGTCGGTACATAGGAATTGGGTGATATGTATGTGAATGCCCCTTTTATTTTTAACTTTGAGATAATTTAATAACAACCTCGCACACACGACACATATTTCGGCTTCGAACAAAAGAACTCTAATTTAGGGTTAGGAGTTGGGCATCGCAAAGTGAAATCGAACGAGACGAGAAATAAACTAAAAGGGAAACAAGGGAGGAGAGCGTACGATGGGGAAATCAAGGGGCGAACGGCGGGTTATCTTCTCCTCTTCTGGTGCCATGCATATCACTGAGCCGAATCTCGAGTTCCTTGGGCAGAGTGGATGCACTCCGGCATGGCCAGAACTCCTCTGATGACCTGCAACTCCGGTGATCGCCGGGCACGGATGAAAAGCGAATCCCACCGCGAGGGATCCCGGCAAAGCCGCGCAAGTGTTCATGATTGCCAACGAAGAGAAATAGGGACTCACGGTAAGAGCACTATCACCCGTTTTTCTGTGTCCGGCAGGGCGATGAGGCGTGTGGCTCCGGTCAAGTGGAGATCCCGAACGAGGGGCCGAGGATTATAAGCGAATTATAATATAAAGAGCTGTAATCGAAGCGAAGTTTAAATACAAAAATTTACGTTATATTATTTGTTTCAGCTATCCATCTAATTTTAAACATCGAAGTTTGTATATATATA